ATGGGTTCCTATGGGAGCAGGGACTATGGATGTTGATCTTTCAAAGTTATATTTGGTGTTTGCTAAGAAAATGTTTAGTTTAGGAGCGATGCCCTTCCAAAGTGAAGGGTTTTACAGCTTTTAGCAGACTTTACCAGTGTGTCATGTGATCAGTTAGAGTGGAGACAGGAGGATTTTGCAAACCAGGAATTTTTGTAAACTGCTGCTAGTCACGTATATTTATCTCTATAAGCACAAAAAAGGCACCAAAATGTAGCCACATGCCTTTTCTCCCTCAAAATGTCAAAATCCTGCTCAGTGGACATTTAGTTTTTTATCTCTGATCCTTAATTGATTGGAAAGTCTCAGTCGTCTCCCATTCACTCCCTGTTGTAGCTGCAGGCGGAGTTCTCCCCCTGTCACTAATTCTTTGCTGTATCTTCCTCCCTGTTTGGAGTTTGGACACAAGAGGTATATTTTTATGCTCAGCTACTCAAGCACTAACTAAAAAGTCTTTTTTTATTAAGCAAATACACTTTTTGTATCAACAACACATCAAACTGTATCATTACATCCAGGCTGGCTGGTGGTGCAGTTAGTTAGTGGAGTCGCACCTCCTATTCCAATTGTGGGTTTGAATCCTGCAGCTGGCTCTCGTGTTAATTGGTTTCAAAATTAAACACCTGTAGCCTATGGTGTTTGAACTTAATGATAACAAACTAAATATGGTGACCACAAATTCCTCAGGTCGTAATGTTAGTACATTATAGCTTTAAACTTTACACAGCTGTTTGTTGTTGGAACTTAATGATGCTAATTTATTCTGCGTTTTTTGCCATTTATCTTCTGCTGTGTGCCGTTTGTCCTATAAACTTCAAATTGTACATCTTCTTCATGAGATGGGTGCTATTCCTGTGTTGCTGATATCTGTAATGGTTGATTTTATATTAATATTCTATGCATTTAAAATGAATGGGTTCCTATGGGACTCCTCTTCCAACCTAGCGAGGACGGAGCTAGACTCCCATGATGCATGGCAGTGAAGAATGTTTTGCTAAAATTTGCTAATAAGTCTCCTATTTGTTTATAATACAAAACAAATACTTTGTGATTTATGTATTTGTTAAATGTGTCTGTTTAAAAAATAGTGCTTTTTTGTTGGTAATTGTCATTCTTGTGGTGGTTTACTGTTGAAACCAGGAGTGAAGTGCCTGTTTCATTTGATAAAAATGGCTGCATTGATAGCTAGCCTGCAGGCTTTATATTTTCGTGTCACATCCAGGACTCCCCTAGACCTTGGGACGTAACAGTAGTGACAGGTAGTGTTGTAGTCAAGAACGCCCAAACCGAGACCAAGTCAACACCAAGACTTTTAGGGGCTGAGAGCAGTCAAGATCAAGACCGAGGGAGGGCGACACCAAGTCAAGACCAAGACCAGTTCCCTGCATTGCATGGCACGCAATACAATGTGGAACAAGATCATAGGTACTTCACAAATTGATCTGAAAGATCCACATTCCCATTAAAACACCCACATACACACTACATACAACACTAAGAGCTGAAATCGACGTAAGCATCCCAGGGAGGGGTGACAGTCATTAATTAGGTGTTTTCAGGGAGTTGGAGAGATTTTGAACCACTAATCATTTGTTGCTGTGGTACTCGCCATTTGAGACCCGTAACATCAGCAGCCAGTAAGTAGTACGGATTTGTCAGCACACGATTTTATGATGTATTTTTATGAGAGAGTTGAGGACATCCGAACTACGATACCCCAGTCAAATGTTGAGGGATTAGACTGCGCTATCACAGGACCATTTTCTACAGGACAGGGCCACTCTGAGTTTGAGCCGATTTCTTTGGCTGAGTTAACTAAAATTGTTGTGACTGCAAGAGGAACTACTTGCTCTCTGGATCCCTTGCCTGCCTGGGTTGTTAAAGAACTATGGCCAACACTAGGATTGTATGTTTTAGCTGTTTTAAACCTTTTGCTCTCCACTGGAGATTTTCCGGCTTGCTTCAAATCTGCAGTGGTTAAACCATTATTTTAGAAACCAAATCTGGATATAAACTCGTTGGAAAATTATAGACCTGTTTCTAATTTGGCCTTCTTATCTAGTCTAGTCTTTGAGGAAGTGGTCTCAAATCAGCTTTTAAAATATCTCTAAATATATCTCATCTAATAATCCTTTTGAGCCGCTGCAGTCTGCTTAAGTTGTTGAGATCTTACCTTTCAGAAAGATCTCAATGTGTGTTTTATAATAACACATTTTCTAACCCTTCACCACTTCAACACAGGGTTCCACAGGGTTCAGTCCTTGGTCCACTGCTGTTTTCGTTATTCTTAGTGGCATTGGGTCAGATCATTTGTTCTTTTCGGATTGCTTTTCATTGCTATGCTGATGATTTACAAATATATATGCCAGTTATTGCAGGAAATGCATCTGATTCGGTTAAGTTATTGACTTGCTTGGCTGCTGTGAGGAGCTGGGTTTCAGCAAATTTCTTGCTACTCAGCTCAGCAAAAACTGAGATGATAGCTATTGGACTAGCTAGATTAGGTCATTTTTATGACAGTTTTACTCTATCCATTGATGATTCTGTCATTCATTGCAAGGAGAGAGTAAAGAATCTTGGGGTCGTTTGTGATCGATCACTTTTGTTTGATTTGCATATTAAAGAGGTGACAAAAGTAGCCTTCTTTCATCTCTGAAGAATCGCAAAGATTAAATCAATATTGGCACTTAAAGATGCTGAGACCCTTATTCATGCCTTCGTTACATCTAGGCTGGACTATTGTAATGTACTGTTCTCTGCCTAAGAAAAGTTTGTGAGCTCTGCAGATGGTCCAGAATGCTGCAGCACGTACTCTGACTGGATCATCTAAATACATGCATAAAACTCCTGTTCTGGCCTTGGTGCACTGGCTCCCTGTTCAGATTAGAACAGATTTTAAGGTTATTTGTTAACTTACAAAATAGTGAACGGCCTTGCACCATTATATCTGTCTGATCTTTTAAATTCTTATGTGCCTACACTGTTGCTGCGCTCCCACAGGACAGGACTTCTGACTGTACCAACCACTGTTGGTGAGTGAGCCTTTTCGTTTCGTGCTCCAACATTATGGAACAGTCTTCCAGCAGATATTAGGCTGGCATGTAGGGGCGGCTGCGGCTCAGGAGGTAGAGCGAGTTGGCCGTTAATCGGAAGGTCAGCGGAAGGCCCTCTGGTTGCATGTCGAAGTGTCCTTGGGCAAGATACTGGACCCCGAATTGCCCCTGGTGGCTGTTCCACCAGTGTATGAATGTGTGTGACTGGTAAAAGCGCTTTGAGTGGTCGAAAAGACTAGAAAGGCGCTATACAAATACGGAGCATTTACATGTTCAGTTGAGGTTTTTAAATCAAAGCTGAAGACCTACTTATTCACTGCTGCGTATTAGTCCTAAATGTTCATTTATCATTGATGTCTTTGTATAGTGGTATTTACTTTTCAGTGTTTCAATTAAAATTTTATTGTACTGTTTGTATTTTAATTGTATTGCTTTTGCAAAGCACTTTGATTGAAAGTACTCTACAGATAAATTTATTATTAGCATTATTATTATTAAGTGGTAGCCAAATAAACAGATTTGTTCAAATTCATCCTTGAGCCTGAGAAAAGCAGAGATGGAGATTGCACTTCCTGCAGAGCGTATTAGAATATCCTTCTTTGCACTGTCTGCAGTGTCCTCTCTTTGTCTTCAATGGGAAATGTGCGACCATGTCCCTGTGCACATCTGTTGGTGGTTCACATGACCTCTTGGCTGGGACCCCATTTGGTGCGTCCCGATTACCTGAGTATGGTCTCTTCTGAGTCACTGGTCTCTGAGATGTCACTGTTATGGACGTCAAAGAGCTCCCACTGGCTGAAGATGGCCGCCCTCTCCTTGGTGTGTTGACAGCTGTGTTTGAATTAGATTAGAAAGGAATCAATTGCGATGTCAAACATACATACAAAAATGTAGAATCAGTGAAATATTAAAAATGATTAACAGCAGAAATGGATTCTGACCAGGATGAGAGAGGATGCTAGTTGCACCTGGAACATTCTCCTGTTCAGCATCAGCACCACTGGTGACATCCAGAGCAGAGAAATCAGTATTAGGAATGATGAAATCCTTTTCAGCCATTGATATTGGTTCCGTGGCGTAGTCAGTTAAGTTGGTTGGATATATGTCCTATCATAATCAGCTGGACATTAAGTGGGTGTCTGATTTTCTTTGTCCACCTCATCGATATTTACAACTTTCTCCTCATCACTCGAAAAACAGGTGTCCGATTCTATCTCAACATCAGTCTCTCCATTTTGGATTGCAACAATGGCATCGTACACTGTAGTAAACAACGCTCCTAGCTGGTGTCATTCTGAAATGGAAATAATAGATGTAAGAGTTAGAGTACGTTCAAGTATAAATAATTTCAATGCAAATTAAACCTATTTATGAGATACATTCCACTGAAGTCACTCAATACTGTCTGGCTAGCCCCACATTCCTGAACATTCACACCTGTGCCTCCAAAGCACTCCACTAACAGTGTCTGCCTTGCAAAACGAGCAGATAACTATATACCATATAACTATATTTTACTGCTAACATAAAGGAATAATATCAAATACTGGTACTGAAAGAACTTAAAATACTGCAACTAGAAATAATTTATTCTTTTAGAAGTACAAATCTGGTCTAAACTGATAACACATAGAAATTGTGAATCATCAAATACATTATATTTCTGTATTATCGTATCGTATGAGAACATTTGAAAAGTGCAGTGTATCCATGTAATGCTATTTTGTACTCTGTGTACTGTGACGGCTGTGATTTAAAATCTTGTGTAGCAACACCTGTAAAAGTAAAACATCTTGTGGTTGTAGGAGCAGTTAACACTGTTTGTTATACTGCAGAGTCAGCAGATTCAGCAATTTACAGTGTATAATTGTAACATATCTTATTTCATCTTCTTCCTATTCTTTGTAGTTTCATCTTGCATCACCACCTATAAGAAAACTCCTCCACCAGTGCCGCCCCGAACCTCAACCTGTTCTTCAGCCTCCAAGCCCTACATCTCCATCACAGCTCAGAGCAGCACAGAGTCTGCACAGGTACTGCAAAAAAGGCCTTGTCTGTTTTAATTTATTTTAATCTGCCCCTCACAAACATCTATCTGTGAAATAATGTACATTATCGGTAAGGATGAATCTACCCTTAGGGCTAATTCACAAAAGACATGGTTGTATCTGTATAACAAGACAGATGTTGACAGATTTCCTGAAAACGTGAGTAATAGCAAGAGACACGGATAAGTCTATGATTTAGATTAAACCCAAATCAGCTTTTAAAAGACTGAACTTCAGTCTCTCTCTTACAAATGTAAAGTTGAATTCGTAAGCAATACTAATACTAACTCTTGCTCTTATTGTTGTATTGTCTTATTGATTTTGCTGTGTTACTGACATCAGTTAATTTGCTGACTTGACTCTTTTCTCCTTGTGCTACTGTTACACTAAATTTTAGCATTTACTGTACAATTCTTATTTGTAACCACAGTGTACACTGTTCATCAAAAGTGACATTGTCTTACTTTAAAATGAACTGGCCCTTAGAAGGAAATTAAAGTATATATTTAATGTGTACAACTCAATCAGTCATCTTTTATGACTGCTGCTTTCTAGTTCAGTGGCAATGTCTGCAAAATCAGCACAAAATATCAGAATATGGACAACAAGGTTTCTAAAGGTTCCTCATAATGCAGCAGAGAAATGCAGCCTTATTTGACCTGCTTTTGAGGATCTAACTCCTTTGCAGCCCTCAGTTTTCAAATCCACTGTGCATCACTGACTTGCTTAATGATATTTCCAGGAACCTCTTGCTAATAAATCACACGTCAGGTATTTGCATTCATTTGATAAGGTGAAGTCGGTTTTAATTATATAGCCCAGAATCACATACCTGTCTTCATAAGCTATACAAAATACAACACCCTCTAGAACCTTGGTTTGAAAAGGAACCACCCCCATCCATCACTGATTAATTACATTAGTGAACAGAACCAACAAATTCAGGATGTAAAGATTAGAGTTAGAAGCCTCATAACACATTGCCAATTGAACATCATACTATTAAAGCATGTCACAAATCATACCAATAGTGAAACTTGAATTAAACACTGGTATTGTTGGCCGCTTTGTTCACAGTCTGAAAACAACTTTCTGGTGACAAAATAGAAAATGTTTTATGGTAAGGAACCGGCCCAGTGCAACATGAGTTGTGGTCTTGACAAGCACAGCATCAGCCCACTAACCTTCAGTCTTCCGGGGGCTACACTTTGGGATGATGCATTGTTACAGTTCGAGAAATTTAACATTAAATACATTTTTTGAGTTAGTAATTAAAACATTTTGTGATCAGCAGTTTTTATTTTAGCACTACAAACACATAAACAACAGTAACAGTGCCACACACACAGCATTGAAAACAGGAATTAAAACATTTATGGAGTAAGTCCTTGGCCCTATTTAAGTAGTGCCATTGTGCACTTAAGGGGACAAGATGTAGTATTCAGCGGCCACTAGCTGTGCGATTCTAAGATTGCATTCAGGTGTGTGCTCATATGCAGGGTTGGACAGAGACAAAAAATCAGGCCTGGCATTTTTGGCCCAGGCGGCCCACCAAAATCAGTCGGACACCCCTCACCAATACAATACCCTCCATTTAAGGGCTCAGGTTAGGGGTGTAACAAAACTCTTAGCCCATGAGACATGACATTGCATAAGATTGGGGCCATGACAACAAGACAAGAATAAAATATTTATTGATGAAATATTCCATAGGGGGGGTCTAGGGGTCCTCCCCCACAAGACTTTGAGCATAAAACACTTCCTGCATACTGGAGACATTTTCAATTGCACCAATTGAATGGTGGAAATGTCTTTATTTTTATGAAAAGAAGCACAAAATTCAGGTGACAGGTGACAATTCAGAATATAAAGCGGTTTAGACATTAATGGCTGTGGGATGTGTTATTTTGAGGGGACAGTAAATTTACACTGTTATACAAGCTGTACACTCACTACTTTACATTGTAGCAGTGTCATTTCTTCAGTGTCGTTACATGAAAAGATATAATCAAACATCTACAAAAATATGAGGGGTGTACTCACTTTTGTGAGATACTTTAAATGAGATTGTTGCCACACTTTATAACAGTTAGACTGCAGTAAGTATCGTTACTGTAGTGAATGGGTCTTCCACTGTGAAGTAATCTGGAAAGCCATAACGTTACAACTAAAGTAGTCTATATTGCACTGGATAACGTTAGCAACTGGTCAGCATTAGCCGGCGAGCTAACAATCAGCCTTTCTGATGTTGACTGTTTTTAAGCAACATTATCTGATTCTTCTTTTGGCCTGACGGGCTTCAGCATAAAAAACTAAATAGTTGTTTTTTATCCTTAAGTGAGTTTATGTTGTGCTGGGAGCCAGTTGTTTTATGATAAATGTAAATGCTCCGTATTTGTACATCTTTCTAGTCTTTTCGACCACTCAAAGCGCTTTTACACTACATCTGCATTCACCATTACAGACACCAGGGGCAATTCAGGGTTCAGTCCAAGGACACTTCTGCAGCCTGGGGGAGCCGGGGATTGAACTGCCGACCTTCCGATTACCGGCCAACCCGCTCTACCTCCAGCCGTTAGCGGACTGCCTTTCATTAGCTGCTGTAAATTGACAGATAAAGACTAAAGAGATAAAGATGAGTTGTCATTAAGTAGACAAAGGCAGGGATTGGGTACTATTTCGGATCCAAGTAACTCTGACAGTATCAACAAAACATGGGTCCAAAAATCTCTTATCATTGCACCTAGCACCTGATCCTGGCAGTGATTACAGTTCTGGTTACAGGTCTGGCAGCTAGTTTTATTTTTAAAACAATTAATAGGTGTAGCATATAGGGGTGGGAAAAAAAATCGATATTGCAATATATTGTTGTGCTCTCTGTCGCAATAAATAATCGATACACTAACGCCCAATATCGATATTTTATTACAACACAAAATGATTAATTTACCCGTTGTCAGTGTCACTGTCACTACCAAATATCTACCATTCTGTTTGCGGGGGGCGCTGTTCGAGTAAATAGGGGTAAAGTGGCGCAAACAGCGGCCGGTGAAGAACACAAGTTAACTAACAACAACAGAGAATTGCAGAAAAAAAGAGAAGCGAGAAGAATGGCGGAAAACAATAAAAAACTAATCAAAGACCCACCCGCTAGTTTCCACTCTAAAGTGTGGAGACACTTCGGGTTTTACGAGACAGTCGACGGAAAGGCACTGGATAAAGACTATGCAATCTGCAAGAACTGCTTTGCAAAGGAATCTGCAAATGCACCTCGTTCGCTATCACGGTGAACTACTCTCAGGTGATAACGAGGGCAAACCAAGTCAGCCGACAATCACTACTGCGTTCAAAGCAAAGCTCCCCTTTGGGTCGCCGAGGGCACAGAGTATCACCGTCCATCGCCGAATTTATTTGCAAGGACCTTCGCCCTTACAGCGTGGTCGAGAATGATGGATTTTGCAGAATGTTGACAACACTGGAACCGAGATACGAGATACCGAGTCATCGGCACTTTACAGACAAAGTCATCCCTGCATTGTATGCAGATACCAGAGCCAAAGTGGAGGGTGCGCTCCGGTCTGCTAAACGAGTTGCACTAACCTGTGGTGGTTGGACGTCAAGGGCCACCGAGTCCTTCGTAACTATTACTGCCCACTTCATAGACGACAACTGGGATGCCCAAAGCTACGTCCTTCAGACTCGGGCTATGAATGAAAGTCATAATGGCGCTCACATGGCAGAGGTGCTTAAGAAGGCTGTAGACGAGTGGAAGCTCACCGAGAAAGAGCCAGCAGTGGTGACTGACAACGCAGCGAATATGTCCGTAGCTGTTGAGATTGCTGGATATCCGCACGTTCGCTGTTTCGCTCATGTTTTGAATCTCGCGGTGCAGCGTGCCCTCAAACTGCCAAATGTCGCTCGACTGCTCGGGAGAATTAGGAGAATTTGCACATTCTTCCACAGGAGCACAGCTCAGCAGCTGAGGCACTGAAGAGGAACCAGAAGATGTTAGGCCTTCCGCACCACAAGCTGATAACTGATGTTGTTGTCCGCTGGAACAGTGCCTATGAGATGATCAGCCGGTTTCTTGAGCAACAGCCAGCTGTTACTGCTGCCCTCTTATCTCCAGAGGTAAGGCGTTTATTGTTTTGTTACTGAATTGCATATGATAACTGTAATCTGTTATAAAATATTATTGTTAACATGATATATATTTTGTTCCTTAGTGTAAAGTGCTTTTTCCTGACTTCTTGGTCTGGATTAATAAGGAATATGTGCATTATAAAGTTTAAACTTTTGACTTCATTCTGTTCTTTTCCTTCCTTCTTTAAAGGTCAGAAAGAATACCACTGACATCTCTACCCTGACTGATGGAGACATCAAGAATACAGAAGAGGTTGTGAAAGCCCTCCATCCAATGCTGGTAGCAACAAAGAGCATGTGTGAGGAGAAAAGTCCAACTGTTTCCATCATTGTTCCTCTTCATGTCCAACTTCTGAGCGACACACTCAGCACAATTGAGGATGCCCCTCTCGTCAAGGACATAAAGTGTGCCATCCATGGAGACCTATCAAAGCGCTACATGTCTGCAGAGGAGAAAAACTTCCTCTACGTTGCCTCCGCCTTAGACCCCAGGTTTAAGTCGATGCTCTTCTTGTGCCTTCAGAAGTGCAGGAGACGTATGCCATGGTTGTGTCCAAGGCTGCTGCCCTGATGGTAATTACAACTTGTAAAAACTGAACAGCAGTTACTTAGGTCATTGAAATTCTCATTGTATTTGTACCTTTTAAACTTTCAACTCTTGCACAGCTGGTAGAAAAATGTCATCCACACATCTAACCATGTGCAAAGATGTGTTAAATTTTAAAATGATTAGGGGCTGATGATGATTTCTTGTTGTGATGAACATGTTATTTCATTAATAACAAAAATAACAATGTGAAGATGAAGATGTGCCAAATGCTTTTTTGTCTTACAGGGGAATG